CTGGTCATGGAATATCGGATGATCTTATAAAGAAGGTGAGAGAGGTGACGCATCAATTTTTCGAGCTTCCTTATGAAGAGAAACTTAAGATCAAGATTACTCCAGCTGGTGGTTACAGGTTTGTTTCCGTACGTATTATATATATCTCAAAAGTCTAGTTGCTAACTTGGCATCACCGATCGTTGCAATTTTGTTCAATGTTCGTAACGAAACGAAACAATATATATTATCTATATATACATTTTTGGAGTACATTTAGCAAATAAATCCTAGAGTTGAGAAGTATTTACGAGGTCATGCCACTGGAATTAATTTTTTTGTTTAAAAATATCAAATAAAAGATGGAAAGAATATTGCCCTCATCAAACAAACATTGCCACAAATCTCTCCATAATTACTCCACGGCTACTTTTTAAAATTCCACATCCAAAATTTCTTCCAATATCTCTAACTAAACGATTTTAAGAAACAAATTATTGACTTTTCTCCATAAAAAAACTCCGTAATTTCTTTTTAGAATATAGATTCCGAAATATCTTATTTCAACTAATTACTTATCAAATTCATTATCAACACAAAATCGCACCAATATAATATACCAACAAATTTAAAGAAAGAATTAAATTATAATAACAATTGTAATTATAGCATAATCTTCTAAAATACCGATTTGATATATTAGATTCTGATTTAGTTTATATTGCAAATATATAGATGTATATAAATCATTATACGGGCCATACACTATATATGTATTTAAAAAATACAATATAATCGTTTATATCTATATATAAACTTCAAATTATTTACATTTCACTATTTTGTTAAAATATAGTCTCGCGGTGTACCACGAGTCAATCCCTATATATATATATATAATCCCGATGATGCTACCTAAAACATTGTAATTGTACACTTAATAATATATAAATATATATATATATATATATGTATATTTTTAAAATACTAAATAATAGGTTATATATATATAAATAATCTATTAAATAAATTATATTTTGATTTCTTAAAAAAATTATAACCCCGCGGTGTACCGCGGGTTAAAATCTAGTTATTAACAAGATAGTCTCAGAAGAGCCGGACCAAAACACATTAATATGAAACATTACAATGGGACTCCCATTTTTTAGGAGCCCCACATAAATTTTATTTTAGCTAAAATATTTATATAGTTATAAATTTTATATACAATTAAATAATTTTTTTAATTTCTCCACAATCACAAGTTATTTTTTCAGAATATTTTTGTACTTTGTTTGGAACAATAGTTTTGTTTAAATTAGTTTACTATTTACACTATAGTTTTTAATTAAGACAAAAATACTTTGTTTTCTTAATTTAAATGGGGTCCCGGATTTTATTGGTCCGGCTGTCTCAGCTCGTGCAACTTTAACAAAAAAAAAGAAAAGAAAATATAGATATTTCTTGCTGGTGCAATTATTAACAAGATATGGTTGGTGCAATTATTTACTTTTAACGAAAACATGAAGATGGCTGGTGCAATTATTAGCAAGATATACCTGCAGGCTTGGTGCAATATGATATGAAAACATAGATCTATTATATAAATTAAAGTAGTAGTGTTGCATAAAAAAAAAAAGATTTTTATTATTTTTAATCCAACAATTCAATGGACTTTGAGTAAAATCGATTGTCCACTTTTTTATATAAAAACATGTGATGTTCAATTCGGGTAAAACGGGGGGGAAAAAAAAAAATCCAGACACAAAATATGCTGGTTAAAATGGTTTTTATTATTTTGAAATATGTAAAAACAAACATTATAGATTTGGTTTTACATTCCTTGCTAGTTTCCGGAAAAGAAAAACACGAATTGAACACGCTAGAAAACAAACTCATACCGATAATAGATAGAATCACTCATGGGTGTTGTGTTTAACAGAGGATATCAGAGAATTGGAGTAAATTTTACAAGTGGGAAACAAGATATGCACGAAGCCATTGATGTAAGTTTGTCTACCTAGCCGTTGGCTTGAGTGAGTGTTCCAAGTAGTGATTCTAACTAACTGGTATGGTTTTATTCTCTTATGGATCGACCGCGACTAAGACAGTGTTACAGAGAGTTCAAGCAAGGGAGGTATGGGGACATTGGAAAGGTCTTGGAAGGGTCAAACCATTGGTACGTAATATCATCAGTTCAATTGATTTTTTTTTTATTTTTCTTGCATCTACGTTTGTGTTGAACGAAAGGGCCAAATTAAGAAAAACTCACTAGTTTAAATTAAACACATTCTATTGAGATTGACACAAAAAAAAATTGTGCGTTTAATGCATATGAATAAGAATGGTGAAATAATCATAATGTCATATAGCTAGCAGAACTATTATAACTGAATAGAGTCTCCGTAGAATTGTTATAAAACCATTGAAAGCTAATTTTAGTTGATTAATGACGATTTTCTATTTGTAAATATATATTTTTGAATAAAAATGTGAAATGAATTAATTTGAATGATAAAAAAAATAATGTATTGACATTTTGGAAACATGACAATGTAAAAGCATTGTTTACCAGTCCCACACCATATAGTAATTTGTTACTGAGTATTTTTGAGACCTCTATTTTGAAGGCCAGGGAATCCTCAAGAGTACAAAGATTTGATGGAGGAGTACATTAAGCTATGCACAGGTGTGTTTTACCCCCTTTTTGTTTCTCAGTAAAATTTATAAGTTTCTAATTTCATTTCATGGTTTTTTTTTTAGATCTTTCTAGAAATATCTTAAGGGGAATCTCCTTAGCCCTTGGTGGATCACCTTATGAGTTCGAGGGAAAGATGCTTAGCGACCCTTTTTGGGTAATGCGTATCATTGGTTATCCAGGTGTAAACCAAGAAAATGTTATTGGATGGTAATTAATGTTTTACTACGACCACTTTTCATTTTAACTTTATCATCAAGCTCCATTTGTGACTAACGTCTTCTCTTTTTTCACCTGCAGTGGAGCTCACACTGACTATGGTACGTAAGCCTGAACTAGAATCAAGTTCACTCTCTTCATAGTTTTTTTTTTTTTTTTTTTTTTTTGGTTTGCTCTCAAACGGGTTTATTTCACAGGCTTGTTGACACTTATAAATCAAGATGATGATAAAACTGCTCTTCAGGTATCTTATCTATTATGTATGGGCTTATTTGCTGATAACCAAATTTTGTTCTTCTTTTCAAAAATGGTAAAAAAAAGCTAAACCGTAAATAAGTTGTGATATGAAATGAAATATGATGTAGTGAAAAATAGCACTATGGATGACAATATTTTCTAAGTTGAAAGAGCTGAATATAATCTTCAACTATGTTCAACCAAAAAATCACCATTTATACTAAAATAGTTTTCAACTATTAATTTGTGGGGACCAACTAAAAGTTAGAAAATTGGTATTTTCAGCCTGAATTTGTTCAATCTCAAACTATGAGATGAATGAAACTGAACGAGTATTCAACTTACTAGTATTCAATTTATTCAACTGGTTCATTTTGTAAACAACCATTTTGGTAACATTTAATATATATCCACATTGTAATAAAAAAAAATATACATTCGATAAATTTTTCAGTTTATTTCTGATTTTGTCATCATTTTGTTATTGCAAATAAGAGATATAATTTGCATATTTAGTTCACATCTCTACATTTTTTTTTTTGCTGGAAACATTCTCTACACTCTTATTATAACCATATATCATTTTAATTTGTGTTTGAAAAAATGGTTATAAAGTTTTTTTTTTTTTGTTTTGCAACTTCTAAAAGGTGAAAAACGTGGACGGTGATTGGATACCAGCTATTCCGATCCCTGGATCGTTTATCTGCAACATCGGTGACATGTTAACGGTTTGTTTCTTCTTCTCTCTCCCTCTCCCTCTTTAACCTCTCTTTCTTTTGTTTTAACAATTCTTGAAAACGTTGGCGAAACGTATATGCAGATACTATCAAACGGAGTTTACCAATCCACACTACATAAAGTAATCAACAACTCTCCTAAATACCGTGTTTGTGTTGCATTCTTCTACGAGGTACTAAAAACTTGTAACACTCTTTGTCTACTCCTCTTTTGGATTTGGATTCATGTTTATCTTTAATATCTTGAATGAACAGACTAACTTCGAGGCGGAGGTGGAGCCACTGGATATCTTCAAAGAGAAGTACCCAAGAAAAGAAACATCTCAAGTTGCCAAAAGAGTTGTCTATGGACAGCATCTGATTAACAAAGTCCTGACTACCTTTGCAAATTTAGTGGAAAACAGTTAATATGGTTGGTTGGGCTTTGGATGGTAATTGTTTTACCATAGTTGGATTTTGAGTCTAAATAAAATAAAATAAAAATTGCAGGCGACAATAAATATAAAAATAAATAAATAAAGATAATACAGCAATTGTAATGTGATTTCTCTACAATAATAAAAATTCTACAGTTTGTTTATCAATCGGCTAGTTTTAGTAATTTATTAATTTGAGTAGTAAAAAAAAAAACACGAGATTCCTCTTATATATAAAATTTAAAAGAGATTACAAGAAGATAGGAAAGAAATTGTAAAGTTTTAGGCACTTAATTTCAGTATCACAAAACATGTAAGTCATGTATACCAGTACGTGGACCAATGTTCTTCACTATCCAGTGGTAGTTATCTATCTACCAACCCGTAAACCCGCCTGAAATATCCACATACAATATTAGACATGAACCTGAACTAAATTGGTCTAAGACTCGAGCCACTATAGTCCTTAAGATCCCGGTGAAATACATTTTCGATTTGGTTAGATCATATTCGTTCTATGTAGTTTCTGTTATTAGTATGAAGAATGTTTTAGGTAAAAAGTTACCTACGCTAGATCTTCTAAATCTAATGTGTCTATTTTGTTCATAGACTTCCCTTTTGGGTACGTAGTTGAAGACAAAAAGGTGTTATCATCGTCTTAATTAACAAGATATATATACCTGCAGGCTGGTATAAAGTTTTTTTTTTTTTTTTTCCAATTTTGAGATAGAATTTGACTAGCTACCTAGTTGGTCCTAGAAAATTAGTAAGGAAAAATCACAACATGCATTCCCACGTGGGCGGGTGTGGCCATTACAGATCATAAGGGACAAATTAATCTATGGGTATCGATGAAAACTAATACTATAGAACCAGTTGATTATAAATATTTCATTGCAAAGAGTTAATGACTTTATATATGTTGTTAGAGCAAAGCGTTTTCCGTCATTTGTCTTAAGTATCTGAAATGGCGACAAACTTCAAATCCCTACTACCAGTTATCGGTACGTATGAAACCCTAAATTCATTATTTTACAGTAAATGTCGCTCTCATCATGCATCAAAGTTTTCATATCAAATCTCAAGGAAACTAAAATGCATGGAACAATGTTTTTGCAGACATCAGTCCTTTAGTGGTCAAATGTGATGATTCGAACATGGCCGAGGATGCCGACGTGGCAAAGGTTGTGAGGAAACTGGACAAGGCCTGTCGGGATGCCGGATTCTTCTACGTAGTAAGTTAACAAACTTACGAAATTGGAGTTTCCGTTTTGGTGTTTTATTAGAGGGTTTGATTTTGGTCGGTGAATGTGGAACAGATTGGTCATGGAATATCGGAGGATCTTATAAAGAAGGTGAGAGTGATATGTCGAATCAATTCTTTGAGCTTCCTTATGAAGAGAAACTTAAGATCAAGATTAGGCCAGCTGCTGGATACAGGTTTGTTCCATTGATCTCAAAATATGAACCAAAGTTGGTATCAAAATTAGTTAGATTAGATCGCTACTATATTAAATTCGTCAACTAAAATTATCATATGTAAAGTCAATGGTTAAAAGTCTACTTCTAAGTACATTGGAGTTCGATTCAAGCACCTTTAGAGCATTATTATTGGGGGGCCTTAATTTTGGTTCTTAGTAATTTTTTAGTATTAAAATTGTAAAAGTTTTACTTAAGAGTTTGTATTTTGTTTTCAAATTTTATTTATCTCCAATGGTAGTCTCTTAGCATATGGTTCTTAGAAAAAAAATTTTTAAATAAAACTAAAATTTTATAAAACTTAATAATTGTTGCAAATTTAAAAATTTAAAACATACATGAGATACAATTTAAAACATACATAATATAAAGCACAAAAAATTTAAGCTTGATTTCTGGAATATTTAGCCCATATATGCTCGACCAAATCCTTCTTCAATTGTTGATGCATACCTCGATCCCGAACTCGAGTTCTAGCGGCCATCATTTCGACGAAATTTGTAGGCATTTCTGTAGAATAGGTGAAATCCACCCGTGAACTTCCGGCAGATTCCGCTTGTTGGAATTCGGTTACATTAAACAGAGTATACCCATCTCGTTCGTCTTCTACTATCATATTATGAAGTATTATACATGCTCGCATAATATTACCTATTTTTGTCTTATCACAAATAAGAGCCGGATTTTGTCTCCGTTGTCGCTAAAAGAATAAAAATCTCGACAAAGAGAGAGAGGAGGAGAAGAAAGAGAAACGCGACACCTGTCCGTCTCTTAACATTAATTTTGACTCTTAGTTAAGAGCCATTTCTTACTAAAATCAACAATTAAACATTTAATTTTAATCTCAATTTCCCTAAAAACCATGTTAAGAACCTTGCAATAAGGATGGTCTTATATAAAAAGGGTCAATGGTCCTAGAAGTTATATATATATATCCTAAATTATGATTACCAATTAAAATTGTAGTAGTAGTACGTAAAAATAGTTATTTAATATCTATATTAATACGGAGTATTTTCTTATAATTTTAATTGAAATTTCCGTGGAATTCAAATTAAACCAAATGTCCACCATTTGTATATATTAAAAAAAAAAAAGTGATGTTCCATTTGGGTAAAAAACGAAGATTATTCATGGATGTTGTTGAGTTATACAGAGGATATCAGAGAATGGGACTAAACTTAACGAGTGGGAAACAAGACATGCACGAAGCCATTGATGTAAGTGTCTCCACTTATAGCCATTGCCTTAAATGATGTTTAATTTCCAAGTAGTGATTCTAACTAACTGATATATTGATTTATTCTCTTACAGTGTTACAAAGAGTTTAATGAAGGGAAGTATGGGAACCTTGGAAAGGTTTTGGAAGGGCCAAACCAGTGGTAAGAGTTTGATTGATTTTTTTTTTTTTTTTACTTGTGCTGAAAAAAATATTTAAAAGATAGGGCCAAACGAAATTTCACATTCAGACTATTTCTCTAATTTTTTGTTTTGTTTTGTTTTCTGTGGCGGTGTTTTCATTGAAGGCCAGAGAATCCACAAGAGTACAAAGAGTTGATGGAGGAGTATATTAAGCTCTGCATAGGTGATTAATTACCCTTTTATGTTTTCTTTTACCCTTTTACACATGTGTTTTTGTTTCCAAGAGGGTAAATATTAAGTTCTTAATTTTATTTCATGGATTTACAGATCTTTCTAGAAATATCTTAAGGGGAATCTCATTAGCCCTTGGTGGATCACCTTATGAATTTGAAGGAAAGATGATGAGAGACGACCCTTTTTGGATAATGCGTATTCTTGGTTATCCAGGTGTAAACCAAGAAAATGTTATCGGATGGTAACTTTTCTCATTGATCTTTTACTTCGACGAACTTTCATTTCACTTTATCATTGAAGTAACTCGTCCCTCCTTTTTCACTTACAGTGGAGCTCACACTGACTATGGTAAGTAAACTTGAACTCAAATCAAGTTGAATATATTTATAAGATTTTTTTATATTTTATCTCAAAACAAACCATAACTTTTGCAGGCTTGTTGTCGCTTATAAATCAAGATGATGACAAAACTGCTCTTCAGGTATTGATCTTATTTGCTAAGCTTATTTGGTATTTGTTAAAACTTGCACGAAATACAAGTTATAGACATGAAATGAACCAACATAACTATGATTTTGCCATCCCTGCTTTTTGCAAATATAAGAGGATAGAATTTTGCATATTCTCTAGATTATTACTATGATCTTCTATAGTTTTTTGTATGAAAAAATGTTACAAAGTTATTGTTGTCTCTTTGAAAAGGTGAGAGACTTGGCCGGCGATTGGACACCAGTGATTCCGATCCCTGGATCATTTGTCTGCAACATCGGTGACATGCTAAAGGTTTATTTCTTCTCTCTCCCTCTAATCTTTCTTTCATTACAACGACTCCTAAAAAACATTTTTGAATCATATATGCAGTTTCTTTCTAACGGAGTTTACGAATCCACACTTCATAGAGTGATCAATAACTCTCCTCGATACCGTGTTTGCGTCGGATTCTTCTACGAGGTAAATTAACTTTAACATTCTTTGTGTATTTTCCCCACTAGGCTTTGGAATCATGTTTCTAATTATCTTGTTCAAACAGACTAACTTCAACGCGGTGGTGGAGCCATTGGATATCTTCAAAGAGAAGTACCCAGTAAAAGGAACATCTCAAGTTTTCAAAAGAATTGTCTATGGAGAGCATCTGGTTCACAAACTGCAGACCACCTTTACAAATTTAGTGGAACACAGTTAATGTGGTTTGTTGGACTTTGGTTCACAAACTCCACACCACCTTTACAAATTTAGTAGAACACAGTTAATGTTGTTTGTTGGGCTTTGGTTCACAAACTCCACACCACCTTTGCAAATTTAGTAGAACACAATTAATGTGGTTTGCTGGAGTTTGGTTCACAAACTCCACACCACCTTTGCAAATTTAGTAGAACACAGTTAATGTGGTTTGTTGTTACTGTACTTTTACCTAATTTGGATTTCGAGTTTAATAAAATTAAAATAAATGAAAAAAAAATAATACATCAATTGTGTAATTTGATTTCTATACTAAAATAAAAAAATTCTACAGTTTGTTTACCAATCGGCCAGTATATTGGATTCCTCTATATATAAATTTCAAAAGAGATTACAAAAAGATATAAAAGAAAATGCGAAGTGTTGGCATTTTCTTTTCAGTATCATAAAACATGATTTAAGTCATGTGTCAGTGGACCAATGTTCTTCACAGTCCAAAAGTAATCTTCTAAATCGTAAAGCCGCCTGAAATATTCACACCCAACACAACAATATCAGAGACTTCAAAGTTCAAACTAAACCAAATTGATTGAGACTCAAGGCTCGAGAGCCACTATTGTAAGATCCCGGTGGATTACAGTTTCAATTTGGTTAGATCAGATTCGTTCTCTAGTAAAACCCATTTAGAGTTTGTGTTATTAGTATAATGAGGTTAAGTAAGAAGTTAACTTACGCTAAATCTTCTAAAGTGTCTGCTTTGTTGATAGACTTCCCTTCCGGTAGTTCAAGACAAGAATGATGCGCTATCATCTCCTTTATCGTGTATTTCGTGCTCTTAACATCGTTATTCCACAAGATGCTCTGAAACACAATACACAAAATCTGCAAATCAAATCTTTTTTTTTTTTTGGTCAAATCTTATCCAGGGAAATTTATCTTATAGTCTTGAAAGGGCTATTTTTTTTTTTACCTTTCTAAGGTATTTCTTTTTCACATCTTCCCAGTGTGATTTTCCTTTTGGAGAGAAAATTGAAGCATTCCACATAGCGCCTCTTGCAACCATCACTGATGCAGCGCCTTTACAGGAACCCAAAAATAAACAGCGACATCCAAGGGTTATATAAAATCAGAGGTGAATCGAATATAATCCTTAGCCCATGGTAGATAATTGTTGGGAGATCTTTGCTACTATCATGAATCTGAATTCAACAAGTCTATATTATGTGTACCTGTTGCAGTTTTAATGCGAGAGAAATCATCGTATTCTAAAACATCGCCATTTGCAATAACGGGAATGGATAATGCTGCCACCACATCTGCAATTTCATCCCATTTAGCAGGATCTCTTGGCCTATCTGCAATTTTTCTGTATATAAGGAAGGAGGAATCATTACCAACTATTAAAAAAACAGCTTAAAAGAATGAGAACAAACCAACAGTGGTGTATATTACCTCCCATGTACAGCAAGAGCTGGTACACCAAGTTTCTCGATTCTCCTAGCCAATTCAACAGTATCTGCTGGTGATTTTAATAAACGAATCTTGCAAGTAACCGGTACGTCTAAGTTCCTCTTAAGTGTTGCCAAAATCTAGGATGCAGAAGAAACAATACGAGGAAAAACTAATATCGATAAGTAAACGCATAACTATGCAAAAAAAGAATTCACAGAGTCATACATCATGAATTAGCTCGGGTTTACTTAACAAAGCAGCACCCATTCCTCCTTGGATAGAGAACGCCTTGGGGCAACCCATATTAATATCAACAGTTGCAACGTCGTTGCACCTAAATGACGAAACAAAAACATTCCATTTCAAAATTGGTATATAACACATGAAACGTTGATTCTTTTCATGACTAAACTTACACAATCTCAGCAGCTTTTAGAGCCCTAACAGCATCAGAAGTTCCCATTTGAAAAACAACTCTATTTCTCTCTTCTTTACATGTGCTAAAGACGACATTGTCTGTTCCTTTCTCCACAAACTCAGTTGTCCCATAAGCAACTGTAGAGGGAGAAGTACAATAAGAATTCGATAATCAGGAAGAACCACACAAACCAGCCCTATATGATTCATCAATATAAGCAGAGGAAGGAGATTTAAGTACAATGCCACACCAGAGAATCTGAGAACCAAATGAATCAATTCAAAAGATTCAGAGTTTACCGTTAATTCGACGTTCGCATTTAACAAGCTTATGATCGATAATCTCTTCACTGTATGTGATATCGGCGCCGTATTCGGCCGCCAACATCCTGAAAGAGAGCGTTCCCTAAATCTCCCGGAATAAGCAAAGGCGGAAGCGAGAGAAGAAGAAACAAAAACGAGCAACTAGTTTCATGATTTGGACTTACCACACGAACCATGGGAGCAAGGACATGCTTGTTCTGGTAATCCATCTTCGTCTTCTTCGTGGCAACGTCAAACGCAACCACGAAAAATTCGAAGACGCCGCTGCTAGCGAGATCTCCTCTGCGAATTTGTTTTTTTTTGCATCAGGGAAAAAAAAAAAAAAACTTTTTGATGTTTTTTATGGGCTTGTCTTAGTTAATGGGCCGAATTAAGCCCATTATAGCGTCCGAATGGCATTCCGATTTAGGGCGTGACTCCGATTTGAGGGAGGGAGCGATGTAGTTTGGGTGCGGTATGATTAATCAAATTTATAAATGCTAATGTGATTCGGCTACGATCCGTTATCTAATTTTTTTCGAATGACAAAACGATTAGAGTGCGATTAGATGGCAAAATTACTTAAAAGGGTAACTAGTTATATTATTATTGTTATCAATGCTTTACGTAATTTCAAGTTTTCCCGACAAAAATGAAATATCACGTTTTTCCGCCAAAAACATTATTTCCGGTTTTCTCGCCAAAATATGATTTCCGGTTTTCCCGCCAAAAACGTAATTTCATGTTTTCCCGCAAAAAAAAAATAATTTCCGGTTTTCCCGCCAAAAACGTAATTTCATGTTTTCCCGAAAAAAAAAAATGATTTCCGGTTTTCCCGCCAAAAACGTAATTTCACGTTTTCCCGCCAAAAACATAATTTCACGTTTTCCCGCCAAAAATATGATTTTTGGTTTTCCCGCCAAAAACGTAATTTCACGTTTTCTCGCCAAAACATTATTTCCGATTTTTCCGCCAAAAAATATGATTTCCGGTTTTCCCGCCAAAACGTGATTTCCGGTTTTCCCGCTGAAAGATTGTCTGCGATCATATTTTTTATGTAAAATATGATCCCATGTTTTCCTTCCAAAAACGTTATTCCGCGTTTTCCCACCAAAAACGTGATTCCATGTTTTCTCGCAAAAAATGTGAATTTCTTTTTTTCCAGAAAAATATGTAAATTTCATGTTACCGCCAAAAACGAAAATTTTGTTGTAATCATATTTTTAATTATTAAATATTAAAATTTGTTAATTAGATATAACAAAAATAATTGAGGATATATTGGTAAATATACCTATAACTCACACTTGCCGCACCCTAATCGTAAGTTTAAATTCCGTTTGTGCAACGATTAGAGTAAGAGTAAATTACAAGAACCTAATCGCTTGCTAACAACATTTGAATCACATCACACTCTAATTGTTTTGCCATTCGATGATGACATGCGATTAGGGTCATCACATCACACCCGAATCGGGTTGCCATTCGGGGCCATAGTTGCTTGTGTAAATGGTTTATGACTATGTAAAAAAACACTTGTAGAGGTTTGCGTATGCGAGTGATTTTGGGATGAACATAATGAAAATACTGAATTCTGGCTAATCTATTATATAGAGGAAGGAACTCTCCATTAAAATGTCATGAAGAGTGACATATCATTCATGTTTTATTGTCACGTATACATTTTTCAAGGTTCATGTAGCTTTTTTTTTCCTTTTTCTTTCTTAAGAGATAAAACTAATGGAAATACACTTATATAAAAAAAATTGGATGAAAATAGTATTTTTAGTAAATCCATTTCCATGCTCTGTTCAAAATCTCATCTTCTACAAACGGACGCAATGACCACATCAGACTGTAACTCTCTAGCTCACCAGATGATGACTTCAAACTAAGCGATCTCACAATCTTTTCCTGAAAAGACAGTATCCATTTATCTTCAATAAGTTAACGGTTATTAAGATCAAACATGAAGAGAAGGGTTCATATGGCGCACCTGCATCGCATAGTTCTGCTTCATCATATTGTAAATTACTGCGATAAGTGCAGCGTACTCTGTAACTTCAGGTCCTTGAGGTAATTGTGCAGTCCCGTTCTCCTAAATCAAACACATCCATACTACATTACTCTTTTCTGGAACCGTTTTTCAAGTTAGTTTACTCGAGAAAAAATTCTGTTGACATCTTACCTCATCACACGTAACTTGTCGCAATTCATTACTTGAGTCTTTATCTAGCTGCGTGGCAGACTCAATTGCAAGAGCGGCCTCATCAGTGAGATGCTCCAGCTCAATTAACAAGCTTTTGGCTGCAACATTCACATCTTACAAGGTTAAAAATATATAATTGCTTATAGAAAAAAACGGAAAATATGATAATGTGGGACCGAGTGAGTGATGACATGAAACAGTAACTAATACATTACCTTTGATTAGGTGGTCAGAAAGTCCTGATAGAGATGTATGCACTTCTTATTCCGGAATTATTGTTGATTTCAGATAAGAAACGGAAGACCAAGTCGAGGAGAAGAAGAAGTGCAAGATGAAAAAAAGAGCAACATGTAAGCAGAAGATAAAAGAATAACGTTCCTAAAACATGAAACTTTTCACATAACTTAGAGACTTAAATCAAAAGAGTTGTTCAGAAACTTACAAGCTCTTGTACTTTGTGCCGCATCATGGATATTAATACATCCTGCTTCCATATATGATTTAAGCCGTCGAGTTTCATTCTTCTTGATAATGTTCTCCATCAACTTAGACGAAGTAACCATTGGAGGGCGTTGAAGAAAACCTGAAACAGTAATTTCATAAGAAACAATGTCATAGAAAGATTTCAAAAGAAAACGTACTTAGTCCTTGCTGAAACCGAAGAAGAAAGTTGTTTGCAGCATTCCCTAGTTCCTCAAGCTGTGTGATTCTATAATCATTACAATAACCAAGATTGAGAGGGACTCAATTTACTTGAAAGTAGTTATATATGTAAGAGAATCAAAGCAAAACAATAAACTTTACCCTGTCATAAAATCTTTGAAAATCTCGGATATTTTCTTCTTCTGTTTGATTCTAGTTTCCATGTCTTCATCTTTCATTCTATAAGAACACATGTAACATTGTTTCAAGCTAAAAGCCATATGAAAAATTCAGAGACAACACTCGCTAAACAAGAATTTGCATGCCCCAAGTATCAAACAGGAGGAGTTTCGATGATCTAATAAGGCAATGATCTACTTAGAATACGTAATCGGAACTAAAAGGTAACTGAACTAATCACAACCAATCATCAGACTTTTGAGGACCAATCGACCATGATAAGAGAGAGAGAAATCATAAACCAGAGTTCGATTTTTCAAGGAGATGACGAGAGACGTACGGAATGGTGGTAAATGAAATCGGCGAAGCTCGAGGGAAGCTGAGTTGACGCCGGCGAAGGTCAATTCCGGGGGAGAGAACAGGAGGTCGACTTAGGGATTTTAGCTTCAAACTCAATTGGGGGATTTTAAGTTTTATTGAAACGACAACGTTTTGCTTAAACTCTTTTTTTTATTTTTTTGGTTATCGAAACAATAATGGTTCGGTCACTTCGGTGAACATAAAAGCTGAAGATTTGTTGAGCTTTTTTTGGTTCAAAACGGAACAAATGTTTTTTCTTTACTAAACCTTTTTCCCATATATACACACATCAATCGTATCCGAAAGAAATCATTACCGTTGAAATTGCTGTACAAACCCACAAAAAGAATCTGAGTCATGTGAGAGTGAGACTGAGTGTGAGGCGTTTTTAAAAACTGTGCCCTCCTCAGAACCCATGTTTTGGTCTCATGTCATTGGTGTTGGCGTTGATTTTTGTTTCCTTTATTGTGCCCTTTAGTGCCTCCTCCTCCTCCTCCTCTGTACAACTTTGTGCCGCTGTTCTGTCCATATGAAGAGTTCTTGACGCCTTTGGTTCCTGCGAGTGGGCTCGTTCCAAACACTCGTTGTTGGTTTCTCGCACCATTGGATGAAACTGCAGTGGGGACGCGTGGATTGTTGTATGAACCGTTTCTCACGGTGACGGCACGAGGACTTCCATAGAAAGGTTGCACGGACGGAGTGGTGGCCCCGTTGATGAGTCCTGCTCGCGGGCTACTATAAGGACTCGTTGTGTTGACCAACATTTCCTGCTTAATCAGATTTTGCAATCAGAATCTAAAGAATGTTGTTTTACTAGCCAAACAAGTGAGGTTGAGGGTAACTATATCATCATCAATCGAAGACGAAATGGAACTGTTTTGATACGTACCCTTTGAGGAGTCTGGTAAAAAGTCGGACCCAAATGCGAAGGGGCCATCCGAGGAGAAGAATTGTTCACAGTTTGTGGATATGAGACTCGGCGATGATTGCCTCCTGTGTCGATCCGTGAAGCTGGTCTGCTGCCACCAACCCAACCATCGTGGCTTTTCCTAAGATTGACAAATGCAGGTGGCTCCTGTCCCATGAAGTAGTAAGAGCTGTGGTGTTCCTCTCTGCATAAAGTAGGAGTTGGAGCCCATTGTTGTCCTTTCGAAGAAGGGTCTTGATAGCTCTGGAAAGTGCATGAGGATTTAGAATATGAGTGGCCCACGAAAGGGATGTTTGCAGGTATGAAACTCGGTGTCTGTTTCCGGTAAGGAAGTCCTGGAAATGATGCCATACTACTCCAGTCTTCGATTGTGATTCCTTGTTTTGCAGCGAGATCGAACACTTGTTTCTCTTCAACTCCTAAACCCATGAGCAAATTCCATAGGTTTCTCTGGGCTTCCCTTTGGTTGTAAATAATTTGGTCCCTCATTGCCATTTCAAACTGTAGTTCAGTATTACCCATCCCCTAGATTTATTAAAAACAACAATAAATGTGAATCAGTAATGTAAGAACTTCACGGTCAAGAAAATAAGACTATAATCTACTCACCAGGAGCTTATACTGATTAAGAATATGCAGATAAGTTTTGTTTCCGTTGTTATTTATTGCTTCATTGAGCATATCCTGTAGTTCGCAACGATGTTTTTCATTTTCTTCAATATCCTGTAAAAACAAAAATAACAAGGATAATAAAGCAATGTCAATGATGACATGCAGAGTTGAAATATATGATAAAGAAAAAGGCTTACTCTCTGGTAGTTAACACCGGCTTCATCATTGTCGCGGATATTATCAAGTATTACTTGTCGTCTGCTACTTAAAGCTTCGACAACATCTTTCTCTGTCGCCTATAAAAAAAAAGAGAAGAGGTTCAGTAACGCAATATATTGACTACTGGATTAGAAAAAGCTTGATCACCTAACCTGTTTCGCAATTGCATCATCGAGATGCTGAAGTTCAGTGCGATTTCTCAGGTTAGTTTCCTCAAGCTCAAATAAAGCCTTCTGTAAGTTTATACGGTCTTGAACATTTTCACTGATCTGGTGGCTTAAACCATCCAACCACGAAAGTTCACGTTCAACACCTCTTTCAAAAGGTTTGATACTTAGCTGTGACTCCTTTTCTGCTAGCTGTTTCTTCAGCTGAGAAACCTCACTCTATGAAACCAAAGTCTGAGTTATATACTGCTATCATTTTGTAACAAAAGTAGATCAAAGTAATTAACTTACTTGAAGATTGTCAATCATTCGTTGGTAGTCTGACATATGAGTGTCGATGGTACCAATATTTTTCTAAAACACATGAAAAGTAAATAGTAAGTACTTCTGGACCAATTAACAATCTCGTGGACTACAATTATTCAAATGAAAATTATTATCACCTGTATGTGTGTCTTAATCTCTTTAGCCCGGTCAGCATATTTCAAGGTGTTCACAGTATGATGGTACTGACTATCAGCAGGTGATATAGTTGCAACCATCACTGTCTGGGAGTTCCCACTCAGACCATCTTTAAGAATCCGCGTAAGTTTGCTGAAATTAGTATATGTCTGTCAGCCAAAGAAGACTACTAATCTATAATAGAAAGATCACATATCCACTCATACCTGTTTCTGTATGGGACATAAGCAAGACCCTTCTTGTGTTGCTTCCCCAAAGCATTTATGCAATTTGCTAGTGCAAGGAGGGAGCGATTAATATTGGCTCCATCCCTCAGTTTTTGACCTCCGTTGTTTGTCTCAGCAGCTCTTTCGCTGCCAGCAAGATCTACAAGGGCGAGTTTCCCTCTCATGACTTGATTTTGATTCTTTTGCCTTCTTTTTACTGCAATCTCCAGAACTGCATGGGATCTGGTAATTGACAGGGAAATTCATATAGGTAATAGGCCAGTACGAGTTCATTGTCAAGAATGTTTTCATTACACTGTAGGAAATTACTCAAGAAAAAAAAAACATTTTGCTGTGAGATCTAGAGATTCAGAAAAGAACAAGCTTCTAACATTAACAGCATATTCAGGAGGTAGCATCGCTTACCTTGATGACGTTCCATTCATCTCCGTGCTCTCAGTTTTTCGTCTACTGTTCCCTAAGTTCAGCAGTTCAAGAATCCGGTCAGCTGAATAGACCTACAAAATAAACATTTTGATTAAGGCCCCATGATGCGAATGACGAAAAGGTGAAAGGTTTCACTGAAGCAAATGAAACAAATTCCCTCAAAGTATTGGAACAGTTAACAGGAGATAAAAGTCTGGTTCTCCTCTACATCAGCAGAGAATTCTAATAGAAATACTTACGTATACAAACAGGAAGGCAGAAAAAGAAATCTTAATCTAAACCATACTACAAGGGATACTCTAAACTATAAAGTGATCTCTGCAAATCAGGTTTAATAGTTCATTAAGGAATGGTCTTATCGCATCTAGAAGGAAAGAAAAGTATATGGACCTTGATTGATCGCAGGCCAGCAACTACTATCCCCTGCTCTGGATCCTCTCTGAGCTCCAAATGACCAGATGATTTTTCAAGCAGATCGTATATAACCTGAGTTGTAGTCGAGATATATTATTATGAGAGAAAGAGTAATACTCATAATGAAAACCACACAAGAAACAACAATAACCAATTTTATCAGACTAAGCCTTACTTCATTGTAGACTTCCAGATATGAGCAAGTCACTTCAAACTCATCTGAGCTCTTGTCACTCTTGATCATATCAAAAATGGTATTCAGGCTGAGAACCATCAATCCAGGATCACTTCGTGTTCCAACCATTGTATATGTTTTGCCACTAAAAGAAATGCATCATTGAGTCAGATAACAAAAAAGAGGCCATACTGCATCACTTTAAGCCCAAATAATTTCGGTAGCTACATGATAATGGACATCATTTATATCACTGCGTACCTTCCAGTGGAACCATAGGCAAACACTGTAGCATTGAGTCCATGAACAACACTAGAGATCACAGAAGACATACTCCTATATACATTCTGAAAACCAATACATGTTTAGATTCATAGCTCTACATCCAAAAACACAAACCTTAAACCACAAGTCAAAATATCCCACAAGGTTCTCATCGGCATAAACAAAAACCAGAGATCTCTAGAAATCACAAATTTGCAGAGACGAACCTTGTTCGTGCTCTCAGGACCAAATGCATGATCAAAACAATATTTCTTCTCTTTTGTCCGATTCTGAATTCGGTCAAGATAATCTTTGGATAAGTCAGGGTCTAGCACAATCACTTCCTGAAATCGAAAACAAAAATTAGGGCGAAATTTTCAATTGGAAATCAGAAACTGTGAGAAATTATGAGCAGACCTTAGAGTTATTCACTCGAACAATGTCTCTACCACGTTCTTTCTCCATTAACGGTCTACATTTCACAGCGACCTACCGGAAAACACAGAATTTAACCGGTCAAGAAAATTTCAGACGAATTAAACCGGAAATTTCTACGAGGATTAACGAAGAGCTAACTAACCGTGAGTGTAGTGGTCTTCTTCGCAGCTGGAGCTCTAATGCTTGGCATTTCGTCAGTATAGAACGAAAATTTTCCCACTGCGAGGTTTAATTTTCCGGAAAAATTTATGCAGATTTTCTCGGAAACTAAACAGAGTCCCTCAACGATCAGAAAATCACAGCTCGAAGAATAAAAAATCTGAAGCAAAGAAGAAGAAAATATCAGCTGAGCTAAGAGGATAGAATTCAAAATGTTTGATA